AATTGTTGGTCCCTATAGCTCCCTTCTGAGGATGAGTCATCGCTTGGTGTTTGAAAAATCGTGATACTCTCGTTGTCTCTACTTCGAAAAGAGAAGCTTCTAGAACCTCCTCCGTATAAGGGAAGAACAGAGTCTTTTGACTTTGACTTCGACTCATCTATGTCTCTTCCAAGACTATAGGTCGATGAGAGTTTCCTCTTCACGTTTTCCCTTTCTTGAACCAAATCACCGATTTTATCAACCGCGATTTCATCGGTCGGTGATTCGTTTTGTAGTCTCGTTATCGTTTTATCAATTTCTCTTCTCTTTCTGTGCAGCAAACGCTGGAAACAAGAGTGTGTAAATCAATGGAAAATAAAGGATTCTTGGGATGCAAGTAACAAGTAACGAAATCTAGGGTTTCTTACTCGCTTGTCCAAGAAAGCACTGAAAGGACGACCTTGAAGCTTTTTTTTCTTCCAGAATATAAAACAGAACCTCACAAGAGCCGCAAAGAGGACCATCATCACAAACTCGAACAGTATAAACCAAATTATCGCTCTCTCATTACCTAAAACGAGAAAATATAAGAGTGCCTTGAAAGTTTGATACACAAGGAATTTTACGGTTTTCAAATTGTAGTTTAAGTTTACCAATGTAGATATCAAGATGCTTTGGCTCTGCAAACGAACAGCTAGATGATAGCTTCTCATGTCTGGACCGACATGGAAATGGATTTCCAGAACTAGAGGCTGCAACGAACGCAAGAACAATCCTCTCGTCCAACACGAAATGCTGTAGATCTTCGTCTAATAGCAAACTCGGAATTTGATCTGATGCCAAAACCATCATAAGATCTTAAATAGATTCAAAAGAGATTGAAAGTAGTCTCTAAGATTTGGGTATTATTACCAGAATAGCTCCGAGACCAGTAGATAGATCTTGTCTCTGGAACTACAAGGGAAAATACAGCGGTTTCTGGTTTCTTGGCAGACACATAAGTATTATCTCCAATAACTCGATCGATCTTTCCTTCTAGTTTTGTCCGAGAAAAATAAACCGCGTTGCCCGAGCAATCGAGTAATGGCTCTACTTGGATCATTGAATCTGTTTCTACATTTTTCGGTATCTTTTGAAGCTCTCCGGTTCGTGAAAACGAGTACAATGACCCATCTAGTGAACCAATCGATACCAAACCTGAGGAATGAAAAAAAGCCGTGGTTAGATAAAAAGATCAATCTTTCATGTGAAAATAAGCTTAAATAGGTTTGTTTATGAAACTGACTGTTTGTGTCTATGACAGGGTCTGAACCAGAAGTTTCTGCTAATGGACCGACGGTTTTTCGCCAAAGAATATCGCCGGAAAATGAATTTAATGCGAAAACTAGCGATTTAGTTGGGAATACGACATAGACCAGACCGTTATTGCCCGGTGTCACGGTGAAGAATCGATCCACTTGACTAAAATCTTGAATCCATTGGTAATAAGTACCACGGAGAGATAAGGAATAGAGTTCTCCTTCATTGTTTGAAATCTGAAAGAAAAATATTAAAAAAAAAACAGAGCAAGAATCAAGAAATCACCATTAATGAAATGTGAATTGTTA